GAGGGAGGGTGGTGGTGGGTGGGAGTGGGTAGTTGTGGTGGTGGAGTGGTGGTGGTGGAGGGGGGGTAGTAGTGGTGGTGGAGTGGTGGTGGTGGGAGGGGGTGTAGTGGTGGTGAGTGTGGTGGTGAGTGGGGGTAGTAGTGGTGGGAGGTGGTGGTGGTAGTGAGTGGTGGTGGGAGGGGGTAGTAGTGGTGGTGGGAGTGGTGGTGGTGGTGGGAGTGGTGGTGAGTGGGGGGTAGTGGTGGTGGGAGGGTGGTGGTGAGGGGTAGTGGTGGTGGAGGTGGTGGTGGTGGTAGTGAGTGGTGGTGGTGGAGTGGGGGTAGTAGTGGTGGTGAGGGGTAGTAGGGTGGCGAGTGGTGGTGAGGGGGGGTAGTAGTGGTGATGAGTGGTGGTGGTGAGGGGTAGTGGTGGTGGTGGTGGTGGGAGTGGTGGTAGTAGTGGTGGTGAGTGGTGATGGTGAGTGGGGTAGTAGTGGTGGTGAGTGGTGATGGTGAGTGGTGGTATTAGTGGTGGTGGTAGCGGTAGATGAAATACAGAAAGGCACAATATCGAAGAACACACACACACACACACACACACACACACACACACACACACACACACACACACCAAGCTTCTAGAATTACTGATGGACCAACAGAGAGAGAGAGAGAGAGAGAGAGAGAGAGAGAGAGAGAGAGAGATGAAAGAGAGAAAAAAGGGAAAAACGAACAAGAAAGAAAGAAAGACCTCTCACCCCTCCCCATGTCTCCCTACCTTCTCTCATTCCCAAGATCAGTCATGACACCTGCTGGAGATTCACAAATTCATCACAAACAGGTCTCTACAAAGGAGGGAGAGAAGCCAACTAATGTGTTTTTGACGCCCTGGGATCACCACCACACAGACAGACAGACAGACAGACTTTTCCGATGTTATGATCTCTTGAACCTCAGAGTAATTAGTGGTGAGGAGGAAGTCAAAGTAAAGTAACGTAAAACGAGTTCCTGGTAACGTTAAACGAGTTCCTGGTAACGTTAAACGAGTTCTTGGTAACATAGAACGGGTACTTAGTAAATAAAACGAGTTCTTGGTATCATAAAACAAGTCATTGGTACATAAAATGGTTTCTTGGTATCGTAAAACGAGTAATCTTAAAGACAAGGTTCTCGACATACGAATACAGGCTTTAGAGAACAGGTGAATAGAGAACAAGACAATAGATGGGGTCACTTACCTTTGGGGCAAGACAAGACGATCCTGAAACGATCTGTAAAGAGAAGTGAAAGAACAATTAATTATTGGTTTGTCTATCTGTCTGTCTGTCTGTCTGTCTATCTGTCTGTCTGTCTAGAGGTTAAATCATCATACTTAAGAGGTTATATCATCATACTTAAGAGGTTATATCATCATACTTAAGAGGTTAAATCATCATACTTAAGAGGTTAAATCATCATACTCAAGAGGTTAAATCATCATACTTAAGAGGTTAAATCATCATACTCAAGAGATTAAATCATCATACTTAAGAGGTTAAATCATCATACTTAAGAGGTTAAATCATCATACTTAAGAGGTTAAATCATCATACTTAAGAGGTTAAATCATCATACTTAAGAGGTTAAATCATCATACTTAAGTAAATCATCATACGTAAGGTTAAATCATCATACTTAAGAGGTTAAATCATCATACTTAAGAGGTTAAATCATCATACTTAAGAGGTTAAATCATCATACTTAAGAGGTTAAATCATCATACTTAAGAGGTTAAATCATCATACTAAGAGGTTAAATCATCATACTTAAGAGGTTAAATCAACATACTCAAGAGGTTAAATCATCATACTCAAGGGGTTAAATCATCATACTTAAGAGGTTAAAGGAGGGATTCAGAGTATGATTAGAAGACTGAGAAGTGAGAGAAGGGACGTGTGAGGGGGGTGTGAGGGGGTGTGAGAGGGTGAGGGGGGTGAGAGGGGGTGAGAGAGGGTGAGAGAGGGGAGGGTATTGGGGGACGTAAACTTAATTACCAAACTTTCATGAGTTGACGAAACAGCCATGATTTTTTTTACCGTACCCAGAAGGCAACTGTGTATGAATGTATGAATACTTATTTAGGCTACATACATACATACATACATACATACATACATACATACATACATAGACACATACATACGACTTTCATCCCTGCCAATTATTATCCTTTTAAAATAACAACAGAACTAACTCAAGATCACATAACTTAAACAAAATTCAAAATACACTACAAACAATAACAAAAAACTATGTAATCTTTCACAAAATATTAAAAACTAAAGAAAATATAAAATAAAAACCAAAATTTTTTACACCATGTTAAAAAAATATATAAATAAATGTAAATATTATTAGGTTCGTTGTCGCTGTAAACAACCTCCACCAACGAGTTTATTTTGGCGGGAAAAAACAAAAACAACTCCTACCTAGAGAGTTAAATAGGATTACTCTCTCTCTCTCTCTCTCTCTCTCTCTCTCTCTCTCGTGTGTGTATGTGTGTGAGTGTGTGTTTGTTAGATAAGTCAGTCACAACTCACACTCACTTACAATACACAACACACTCGCTCCAAGCTAAAACAGACAGGTGAGTTAGCTGGCGTCAATAATTAGGTGGTGTTTCAGGTATGGAGCGCAGGTAATCGAGAAGTGTTAGGTGAGACATCAGGTGAGTGAATGCCCATCTCTCTCTCTCTCTCTCTCTCTCTCTCTCTCTCTGTGGTCTTGTTCCCCATCTCCCTTCCTCACTCTCCAGCCTTCCTCCCCCCCACCTAAGAGAAGCATCCTGTTGACCCCTCGGGAGAACCTGCCACCTAATTGTCATTGCAGGTGAGGCCCTGTGCCACGGCTTGACCGCTGCTAATAACTGACCTCTCACCCTTGACCTTAGCTAAAGGTCACTACACTAAAAAGAGACGGTGGATGAGGATTGGTGGGGGAGGGAAGGAGGGAGGGAGGGAGGGGAAGGACAGATAGAGGGAAAGGTACTTGGAAACAGAGAGAGAGAGAGAGAGAGAGAGAGAGAGAGAGAGAGACAGAAAAAGATAGTGATAAAAGAGGGAAGAAAATAAGAAAGAAGGATAAAACGAAGAAGAAAAAGAAGAAAGATTAGAAGAAGAAAAAAACATCACCACAAAATCAATTAATTAACATCGACATAAACAACAACAAAACAACAACAACAACACACGATCATTTTTAACCCAAACTAAACTATATCTGAAAAAAACCCCAAAAAATAATTCTCCCCAACTCATACTAAGAAAAATAACTCAAGGTATAAGCAAATTAGCTCATAGTGTGTTAAGTTAGTGTGTTAAGTAGATATATATATACGGGCAGTGTGTCTTTAGTGTGGAAATATGTAGTCGGTAAAATATTAGAATCAGTGTGTAAATTAAATCAGTGTGTTTTAATGATTTATGGGTTAATTACCAGGACAGGTATGGTAGAGGTAATTAAGGTAATTTTTCAGGTATTTGTTAATTAATGGATCTGGAGTCTTGTATAGAACCTAACCTAAACCTAACCTATCCCTACCCCTAACCTAACCTATCTCTAACCTAACCTAACCAACCCATAAACCAGGAAGGGGGAAAATAACGATAAATTTCCCCTTAATAAAACAGGGACAAAATATAGGGTAAAAAGGTCTTATTGTCGTTCATAACACAGGGAATTTTCCAGGTGTAATAGAGGCGTGGGGTAATTTCCCTGTGTAATGGACTAAAGTGTTATGTGGCCTGTTATGTGAGAGAGAGAGAGAGAGAGAATCTGTCTATCTTTTTCTGCTTTTGTCTTCAGCCTCTCTCTCTCTCTCTCTCTCACCAGTACTCACCCCAGGGGCAGGATGAGGCGGTTCTGGAAGGTCTTAGAGAACCCTTCTGCAGGTTCATCATTGGGCGAGAGCTGACGCTGGACCTTCGACATGATTCACTCCTTCAGGTTATTCCTCTTCTCCTTCAGGTTATTCCTTCCTCTTCTTCTACTTCTCTCCCTCCTCTCTCTTCTAGTTCCTCTTAGTTACTCTTTCTCTCAGTCTTTTCCTCTTCTTTTCTCTTCTCTCTCTTTCCTTTTCTACTATACACTTATCTTCTTATTACTTCTTCTTCTATTCAACTACTTTATTTTACTCCTTTTCTATCTCCTTTCTTTAATCTTTTCCTTTTATTTACTCTTCTTATTCTCTCTTCCTCTTTACGCCTCTTCTTCTCTTATTGTTCTATCTCACTTTAATTCTTTCTTCTTAATCTTCTCTCCCTTCCTCCCTCTCTATATCTCCCTCACAACAACAGAGAAAGAGAGAGAGAGAGAGAGAATAGCACTGTCTTGCCTCTTCACCTTATACGTGTTGATAAGGTCGCATTTACCTCCAACCTCACAGTATCCACAGGTGTGTAACTACAGGTAACAGACAGGTAACACGTACACACCACCTTACAATATTCACCAATTTTAAAAGTTTAATTTATTTTGTCCTCATGAATGTAAAATGGTGTGTACACGGGTATGTTCTTGGTTGTGTACACGGTTTTTGTTCCTATCAGTGTGCACGTTCTTAGCTGTGTACACGTCCTAGTTCATGTTAGTGTACACAGTTTTGTCCTTGTCAGTGTACACGTTCTAATTCCTGTATTTTATTCGAGTCTATTTTTTTTTCTCACTTTGTTCTCGGAAGGTTAAGTGTGTGAAGCGTTTGAGTGCCTTTTTTCCTATTGACTCAAACTATTGACTTGAACTTTTTATGTCCGTCTGTGTGTCACGATCTAACACAATGACTGGACTGTATGACTGACTGACTGTAACGTGACTGGATTTCTATAACTTGACTGTAACACACTCACGAATACAGTTATGTAAGGCAGTGTATTTTGGTAATTTAATCCTTGTTGTTGTCGTCTTTGAAGATGTCTTAGGGACTCTTCGTATCGTGTTGAAGATATCTTAGGGACTCTTCGTATCGTGTTGAAGATATCTTAGGGA